ATATCTCGGCGTCACTGTGATTATATTTCACATCATACCCTGCCTTGAAAAAAATAAGCAGTAAATAAAAAGTGTTTACTCTACACATTGTTTTCCCAACATCTTTTTCTTTAGTGTCTTTGCATCTTCCCACCTATTATGATTCGAAAATTTTTGAATACTCCTTTTCGATCGATTCTGTTCTCAATGATGCCACTTTGTTTTTCCGCAAAACTACTCATTCGACTGATATCGCTGTATCATTTACCATCCTAGTCACAGTCGAGTAAATCCAGCGGGCGCCAATAAATCTACCATTTCTCCTTATCGCGTGCAAGAGTAGCTTTTACCTACTTGGTATGGGATACTCCTAGCACCGTCCCTTCGACTGTACGTCCGATAACGCTGAGTGATCTTTCATCGTGCTTGCGCAGCGGCCTAATGCATACGTTGAGGAAGGAAGTACAGTTGGGTCGAAAAGGTGGGCACGTAGTCGGGTGTTTTTGTTATCTTCACTACATCATCGATGCTCTTGAAAGCTCCCCATGCTGCTCGTTTCCTTCTGCTCAGTTCTGGAGCTAGGTCGTTAATCACGTTGATTTCCCGACCTAAATAGATATAACTGGAGCATTCGGAGATATTTGTTCCATTGAGCGTGAATGGGGCATGCGAAACCAGCCCGTTCTTCATGAACATCGCTTTGTGAGATTTAGTCGAAGACCAATCTTTCCACAGGCTTTATCAAAGTCCTCAAGCACACGTTCCGCTTGGCTAATGTTTGGTGTTATAAGGACGATGTCATTAGCAAGGCGAAAATGCTTAAACAGCCGACCGTCGATTTTCACTCCCATATTATCCAATTCCAATGTTCACATGACGTTCTGGAGGGCGGCGGTAAATAATTTTGGCAGGATGGTATCGCCTTGCGTAACTCCTCTTTTGACGTAAATATTAATATCGTTGTAGAATGGTGATATCTTGGTTGTAAAATTTTTGTACAGCTCAAGAATAATCTTTATATACTGAGTAAGGACTCCTTGACTATCAAGGGCTTCCATGACTAATTCTGTTTTAGTTGAATCAAACGCCTTCTGTAAATCGATGAAAGTGAGACAGAGCGGTCTTATGTACTCTCGCGATACTTCATTGAGCCCTGTTATCGTATGGATGTGGTCCATCGCACTAAATCCACTTTGAAACCCTGCTTGTTCACATGGCTGTCCTTCGTCTAGTGTTCTGTCAGTCCTGTTTAGTATGACTCGAGTGAAAAGCTTGTAGAAGACAGACAGCAAGCAGATTGGGCGATAGTTGCCGATATCATGTAGGTCACCCTTCTTAAACAATAATACGGTCTTGCTGGTCTTCCACTGATCATTAGGAACCTTGCATTCAGACAGGTAACGTGTGAAGGGCCGACCCAGTGTGTTTGCGAGGGCTGGCGAAAGGTCCTTCAGGTGTTCTGATCTTATCCTCTCCGGACCTGATGCCGCTCAATTTTTCACCGACGAAATGGCATGCCGGTTTTCGGAAGGGAGAACCGGTGGTACAACATGTCTATTCTCCTTTATTTCATATAACGGAAGGTCGACGTGGCTATCGAAGAGTTCGAGTAGTATATGTGAATGATTTTCCCCATTGCCTTGCTGGACACTGTAACTGTTCCGTCTGGGCGCCGGATCATTTTGGTCGTGTAATTGGCGAAGACTCGGTGGGCTTTGCGAATGCTTTTTCCAGCCTCTGCAGCTTCGACCGTTACTGCTGCTCTTCTCTTTTTAAAATCTTCTATTATCGACTATCTGTATTGTTTTGCAAGTTCGGAAGTTAGTTCGCGGGTGCCTGCAGCTCGTGCGATTCCACGCTGGTGTGTCATATCGAGTATTTCCGGCGACAGACATCTCTTGTTGACTTTCAAACTCTCAGCTTTCATAGCGGTAGCGTGAAGATGTTGAATGAGCCGATTGTATTCTTCGTCGATGCTACCGCCAACGATGTCTTCCCAAGAGCGGACTAGCGCATTGCATAAATCCCAGGTTATGATCGTTTTGCGACTTCGTTTTTTGAATTAAACGGGTTCCTTTCTTTTCCGCTAGAAACGAACTCTTGAACAAAGAAATCGATGGTCTGATCACATGCATAATTTTGAGACAACAGCGACATCGGTTAGGGAAGACCTTCGATTTACTACAATGAGGTTATTTCGTTATGGTACTCTGTATTAAGAAACTCCCATATCCAGTGTTGAGGGTAGCGGTTCTGGAACTGCGAATTACCACGGGTGGTCTTGGTCGTCATGATAAACTCAGAAAGGCGCTCACCCTGTTCGTCGCATTCTAATCCGTGGGCTCCAATGTGACGTTTTTCAGACACTCCTCTGGGTCCAATCTTAGCGTTGAAATTTACAATGATAACCTTAAAGAAAGGTGCGAGTGGATCAGTGGTCGGAGGTGCCCTGCAACACACGTGGAGTCGAACTCCAGGTCTATGGTCCACGAAGCCTTCCATCTCTCCGAGGTCGGTAAATTGGTACGAGACTTCTCTGAGAGGATAGCAGCACTAGCTCGATACATCAAGGAGCCACCGCGAGTCATTGTAAAGGCCGGAATGCATCCAATTGCTTCCAAACGTTGCTTAATGAAGTCGATCTAAGCAACGAGCTAATGAGCAGTTAGTACAAGCCCTCCATCTTAATCACTAATTGGTAGTCCATTATTTTGCTTCATTTTCGCGCTGCTTTGAGGTTGGTACTAAGTTTTCCTCGCTATAATGGTATGGATTTTGAGAGTTTCTCCTGAATATCTGCGAAAATTGAAGTCCACTTAGCCGTTCTAGTCTTTCTGTCTAAAGAACTCTGTAGGAAAAGGTGACAGTGTTAATGTCTCGTTATACCTCATTCATTCCGTTACTCCGTTAATTATTGTTTTTCATTCTTATCTAATGTATATAGTCAAGCTGTGTGACGGATCCGATCTTGAAGCTCATGCAGATTTCAATAAGCAGAGATATTCCGCCAAATTTCTGCACGATATGAAAGTCCCTCCATGTTATGGGTTTCGCAAGGAGGCCATGGATGAAATTGGTTGTTTGCCGGAAAGAATCGTGTCATATTCGCCATAGTTGGTGTCAAAATTCTTCGAGATCGTAACTGAAGGCCTACAAAGTTTTAGGCGTTTACTTTCTACCAGACACTTTATTTATTAAACGACATTAATGATGTACATTTACACGATTTTTACGTGATTGTAGTCAACGATATTCGATTAAAGGCAATCAATAAATCGATCGACTTGAGGTGAAGGTCACTAGCGCTTTCTTTTCGGAGTGGGACTCTTTCCGACTTTCTTTCCTTCGGACGGTTTTTTCTCACCAGCTGATGGCAATTTTGTAGTTTTTCCCACTGCCGTCTTTGGTTCCCGTCCCCTTTCCTTCGAGCGACGTTTCTCTTCCCGTTTTGAAGTTACGTCTAAAGATTTTTTTTCTGCAAACTTAGTCTTTGGTTTTTGAGTTTTTTTTTACTTTAGAGTTCTCTGATAGTTTATGTTTTTTTAATGCATTTTCTGAGCTTGCCGATCCACTTTTCGACTTTCCAGCTTTTTTAGTTCCAATTTTTATAGTGCTTTCTCGGTTTTTATTCTTACTTTAATATCATGCCTTTCCCCTTTCCCGACGTTTTTTTTTTCGCAGAAAATGGATGCTTTCAACTATGGTGGTGAACCGCTGGGCTTTAACACACAATGCCTGAAATGCATTGGATACTTCCAACTTTAAATCGAAACATCAGGGCAGGAGAGCGTGTAGTGCAGTGGACAGAGGCGCCCCGCAGTACACGTGGAATCGATCCCTACTCCTCAGGCTCACCATGCCTCCCATGCCTCCGGTGTCGCTGAATTGGTACCAGACTTGCCTGTGAGGATAGCAGCACTGGTTCGATACATCGGCAGGCAACCAGAAGTCATTGTAAAGGCCGAATATACATTCAATCACCTCTAACGATGCTTGATTAGGAGCCGAATGCATGGCGGTCCTTTAAGGATTGATAAACACGGTCAGCTTTATCATTTAATTTTAATCTCAAGGTATACTAGATCTTATCATCTTCGATTGAAGCCATTACCATCTGCTGATCTTGTTTTAGAAGATATCAGTTGTTTATTCTACCGAGGCGAGGCTGATTTTTTCGACTTCATAGCACGTAATTCCTTTGATTTTTTCTTGCGTGGAATCTTGCGTTTTAGAAAACAAAACAATCTAATAAGCTGGATTTCGTCGAACAGAACACGACAGTGTTCCACAATGTTTCATTTACGTTTAAAGGTGGCCGCTCCTGCGTTAGAACTCTTAAAACCACAGGTCTCCGCGTCAACTTTTCGAAAATTTCAGTTCTAAACTGGTATAAACTTGAAAGGATGTTGTTTGAAATCTACTAATACAATTTGCTTGATAAGGGAAAACACGTTCTTCAAATGGCTCTTTTAAAATACTGTAATTAACGGAAAACCACCGTCAGTTCTCAAAAAACCAACTTCGCGCGTCATATGTTAAAGCTTCCGATGACTTCACACTAGCAGCCTTTGAACCACATGAGTTAAGAGAACAATAATGAGGAAGGAATAATACGAAAAAAAAAGAAGAAAAAGTTTCAAATAGAATTACTTGTCTTGTGTGTTAAAGGTTTTTCTGGTTTTTTGCTTGCTTTTACCTGAAAGAACCAGCTATTAATTGATCTTCTACCACTCCTAGCTAAGTCGCCTATACATTAAATACTGTTTAGTCCATCGAGCAATGGAGTACACATGAATCAGTTTGGGAGAGGGTCTGATCATAAGCAGTTTGAAATCTAAAATTTTGCCATACACCACACCAAAGCTTTTTGTATCACTAACTTTAAACTAACTCAGTTGTGAAAACCTCAATTCTCAGATTTTCTATTAATTCCTAAAAACCTACTAGCGACTACGTCCAGTTTTTGCCACCCACAGTCATTCTATCCGAAATGCCTCCGAATCTAGTCGCAAATCACTTATTCAGGCAGAAATGACCCAATTTGCGAGTCGCATGTTATTCATATCGGCCGCGATGTTCTCGTCGATGAGGCTGTGGCATGTTGAACGAAGCCCGAGAAGAAAAATTGTTGAGAATAGTATCATAATTACCTTTTTGCTCAAAAAGCTCGGAAGATAGAAGGCCAATGGAAGAATTATGGGGGCGACAGCTATAACTACTGCGATAAGCTCTTGTGACAACTCCCAAGTCTTTTTGTTGTGCACCTAAAAGCTATCTATCATTAATAGCTGTCAGACCAAACGAAGTTACGTGAAGGGCAACTACAAAAAAAGAAGGTCTTCAATGACCACAACGTGTAGAATGTCGTTTTGAAACTGATTATATTCCAGTGTTTTCTCATGAACATTGCGTTATCGTCGTTAATTTTTTGAGGTCTCTTCGTCAAAATTTCTTTTTCTTGCTTTGATTGCACTTTTGTAAGGAAGATACTTCAGGTTACCAGTTCGGATATAATCGTAGACTCGACAGTAAATAACATTACCAGCTCATAAATTTGTGAAACCTAAAAATAATCAATAATAAGGTATGAAGAGATGAAAAAATTTCAAGACCGATATCCATCCGATTTTCCCACCAAAAGAACAGCAATGACGATCAGAAGAACTACTGTATGTCCACATTCAACATATTTAAAATAAAATGGATATCTGGACTTCGGGAACACCTCTCCGACGTTTTTACGATATTCTTGGACGCCTAAATGTATTCCAGTTTCCTCAAGAATGATTGTATTCTCGTGGATTCACTCTTCTCCACTGGTCTGCCAAGTATTTTTTCTGTTTGCCCTATTGTTCGCTTCCGAGCAGGCTCGTCAATATTCCTCTACAGTGCCGACTTTACCCAGTCGGTTTTTCACTGCAAGTCACTGTGCTTATGAATCTGATAGAAGTGTTCTCTCATTCTCAAATTCAGCGGCATGCACTTTATTCCTTCAAGCTTCCCAAGTATCTCAACATTCTGATTTTTCTTATTAGTTCTGGGCTAAACGTTGTCTCGCTGTTGTTGGTCAATCGATATGATATTAGTAATATAATATTTTTCTGCAGTGGCTCTTCCTAGGTTGGAAATGGAAACGGTCATATTATCATCTGGCGCACCAACCATATTTATCCCCCCCATCTCTCTCCGCAAGAACAGGTTCAAGACCTTAATTTGAGCACTATCGAAAAAAAAACATCTGAGTTATACATTAGATGAGGAAAATACCTAATAGAATAAGTTCCATGTTAATTTGATAACTTTTAGCTCTCAAAGGAGCGAATTTCGCTGGAATGTTGTCTCCTTGGTAGTAACTCACCATGAGAGAAAGATAAAATAGTAATGGTTGCAGCCATATACATATGCAATGAGAAAGTCAAAATGAAGAAATTGTGTTTGGCTTCCAGAATCTAAAATTACTTGAAGCATAGAATGTTGTGGAAGTGGGTCTCAGGATGTATGGATTCAACGACACCGACATTTAGGCAGTTGGTGATAGCGTAAACGAAACAGGCCAGCACATAAATAATGACGATGCATGCTTTCTTTACGAATCTTTCCGCTTTTTGTTTTCTAGCTATAGCTGCAATTGTGAATATTGCTGCTGAAAATTGTGACTATAGTCGAACACGGGATCCGAATAAAATAACATTGAAGACTCTTGGTCGTCTGCTATGACTTTATTCTACACCTATCCAAGTTCCTCACAAGAACAGTTCCTTCGCATATCTTATAAAGGTTATAAATTCTACCAGTTAAAATTGATTTAAGATATGGTGTAGCGTGGATAGAGGAACTTGTATGTAAACGATCCGTATCGCTCGACGACGACCTGCTAGAGGCGGTTGATGGAGCGCGCTAACAATGAGAATGCATATAACACGTGCTACTAAATGGCCTACCTAGTGAAGTGACCGAGTTGAATAAGAATACAAATTCCGCATTGTCAAATATCCCATCTGGGAAATCATTGTAGAAACTGTAGACGTCGGCAACGAAAGCAGGAAAGTAAATCAATCCTTAAACGGCCGCTTGTTAAATTTAATTTAATAAAAAAAACAATCAGCTCAAGCTACCTTTGTTTTCCGGCGAAAAGCTGGTCCTGTGGCGTTTATCAAGGGTGTAGAGGATCGCAAAGTTCGAGAAAAACGACAATAATCCAAGCAGACAAACGATTAATTTGCCGACGATCACAAATGTTGCTGTCTGCAAGCGATTTGATTGGAGAGATTCACAGTGCTAGGTAAGATATCTCTGGAAAAGGGTTAAATGGCTACTACTACTGCTTACTACCCTCAAATCACTCCATCTACCATATATTGACAAATTGCACAGCTTTCTGTTACACTGTCTATAAAGGTTTATGATATATAAGAGTTCGACTTAATCAGAAGAAAACCCAAATAAGGAGAAAAGTTTTTGGACATTTATGTTTCCGTATCCAGATAGGTTCTATCATGCATTATCAATATATTTATAGATTAAAATTTATAAGAATACCTTAAAATATCGTCCATGTCTGTCGCGAAATGAAGACATACAGAATATGGCCACCTTACCCAAACCTGAAGATGAAAATGCGAGACGAATGGCGCTGATCCATGGCTGTAATGGCGGGGTCTTACTGTATTTAAGGACGTAATTTTTTGACCAGTAAACTACGAAACGTGAAAAACTGAGTTCTTGAAAAAAAGCAACATTTTCTATGATAAAAATCAGTTTCGCGATAGTTTGACGTTCATGTGACTTCCCACCAAAGTGGTCACTATTCTTCGTATAGTTATACCTAAGCAAAGCAAACTATGGAGAATTTTAGCATCTTTACAAAAATCCCATAAAACCAAAATTTATGTGTAAATATATAAATTCGAATATAGTAAGAAGAAGCAGACCGGGGCGTACCTCGATAGTGCGTAGGCGTTTGAAATCGGAAATGAGATTTAAAGTATTGAAGGCTTGACCGTTGATGGACGAAATGACGTCCGTGAAGGAAAGAATGAAGAACAGCACCACTTAGTTATCAGCATTCAGTTAAGTTTTAGTCAGTATTCCGTTATTGGACAAATAGAAAACATTAGGCCGAATACGGCAATCACTTGAATCGTTCGCTCAGAAACTTATGAAGACACTTCTTGTGCCTCACTTTTGATTCGAATATTCGTTTATACTATATTTGATATTTAAAAGCGCCTCTTGTAGAGCAGTGATCAGAGTTGTCATTCGTATCAATTGATCGTTGGTCGGATCACACTTCCTTTAGCTACGACTTCGGAAAACTGGTACCGGACTTGTCTAGGAGGATTGAAACACTAACCTGACACATCGCTAAACCCTTACTAGGTCAAATTTGCTTAACGGAGTTAAGTGCACCTAGGGGAATAACTCAACTCCGAACGCTTTGTCCGTATTATCCTTTATTTATTTAGTTAGTCAATGCAGTGTTTGAATTAGGATAAATTGTAGTTTTGTCGTCGAATAGTTGAGGATAGTTCGAGATGAACAGCTCATTCCACTGAAAGGAGTCAAGCAAAAACTTTGAACTTACTTAGAACAGACAGAAACGGGACAAGTACCAATGGATCGATGAATGCTATACCACCCAGTGCGGCTAACTGAACCATATACCAAATTGCCATCTAGAAAACTTCCTGCTTTTTCATTTTCTAGTAGATAAATTCGCAAAACACTTGAGAAAACAGTTTGATAGCACCGATTAAATCCATGTATCTAGAAGACAAGGGAAAGGATATCGGAATCAATAGATTTGTTCTTTGTCTGGAAAATGACAATTGCCGAGAGGAATTAGTGCCTTCAGAAGGTGCTTCGCTCTATCTGACGAAAAATCATTAAGATATTCAGCACCCCGAGGTGATTTCATCAGCTTAAGGCTTGAGATGATATTTTAGTCGAAATATTTGATGAAGGACTCACTTCTAGATCAACAGTTTGACCATCGGTTGTTTTCGTTAAATATCTGAACAGCTACAGTCAGACCATTGCTTAAGAACATTTCCAAGATTGCTGGATTTGTGCTAGTGTTCTGGAAAACACCTACTTAATATATGAATTAACGGATGATCCGGTGAATTCGTACGGAGGTTGCTGCCAGCAGAGTCCTGTGGCATAGAAGTCGTGTCGAGACATAGCGGCCATACAACTTGAATCAAGAAAAATCGACGTACAATTGGACCCTGGAATTTCAAGGACAATCGACTCTAATGGCTGTCTTTAAAGCTAGTGGCGTCCTAAGTACAAGTCTTTTCTTCTAGTGTCAAACTGCCATTACCTAGATTGACGTTATCATCTCCTAAAGCAAGGGTCTACTATATTACAAGATAAAATATTTCCCAAAAATTTGAAAACCTCACTTACAGTCTTGAACATAAGGTTGCATGCAGGCGAACATTGAGGGATTGTCACTGAGCGAAACACGAAAATGTTTGAGAAGAATCGAACTGTCGTGCAAAATGCTCATGTGGGAGATGATGATCAGGACCAGATAACCGTAACCAAAGCCTAAATTGTCGAAGCTTACTGGCTTCAAAATTGTTTTCTCTGTGAATTCAACTGAAGATCAAGTGGTTTCCGCTCGGTATAAAATCGTCGTGACACTGATGATCTTTTATACTGATACTATACTGACCTTTATAGGCATGTCCATACATCCCAAAGACGTCCACTAATCCTGTTTGAGCGAATTGTGATACAAATAGTACGAAACATAACGTCGGATGAACGAACACAACAAAAATTATTACATATAGAAAAATAAATGCGTCTAAAACGTGTTTAACTGTGAATTTTTACAATTACCGCAACAGAAGCCAACGTAAGTGAATAAACCAACAGCCTCCATTTCTGGCTACTTGTACTGGAAACTCCCAATAGTCGTTCATAAGTGGAAGTAAACACATTATACTCAGAATATCCATAATAGTTTTATAGTAGGGTTCTTTAGCTAAAACAAGTAGTGATGAATCTCTACTCAAAAAATCCTACAGTGAGGTGATTTCTGTTGAGTTCTTCAATTACACGAGCCATCATAAATTGTGCTGATACAACATCTCTCACGCGATTCTTTCTGCCCAGACGTGCTACAGAGATCTAGTGTGATGTCCACTAAACGCGACAGGTAGACGCCAATAAATATAGAATAAACGCCAGATTTGATAGAAGGGGATGTGGGAAAAACATAAGTGACACTGGCAATGAACATCAACTTTTTGTGAGGAATTACCACGTGAGATGGATGTTAGCACTTGGAAAACGTTAGGATGACCTCATATCGAAACCCGTAGACTGAAATGGAACGGACAGATTGAGATGATCAGAGTTCTCCGTTACCTTCACTATGACCATTCTTGGTAATTTATAGTTTAAGGTACTCTTTTTAATGCAGTGTCCTTCTTCTAGAGGACACAATAAAGATGCTGACCATTCGTCATCAATCGATGATGCTTCCCAATTCATGCTGTTTTCATCTCAAAGTTGTGTGTGGAATCAGTCCAATCCGCATTTTATACTCCTTCTTCTGACAGGAAGAAGAGAATGAGGGAAAGATTGACAAAGAAACCCAAGTGTTATCTTCAAATGGGATTTTTAAACATGTTTTGACCAATTTTTGGAAAGGGGATACGACAGCACTGTCCATGGTTTCAAATTCTACCCCTTTGATGACTAGTCCACCTGCTTATGCACGTAATCAGAAAACGGTCGATATTTTTTCCGGTTTGGCCCAGTAAGGCCCTAAATTAACCGAAACGAAAGACTATTGAATAATCTGGACAGCCAGAGCGTCGGGCATCGGAATGAAGCTCGAGTGATTTTTTCTTCGAAATTTATATTTGTAAAAATTTGTCAGGTATAAGTTTTGAACTAGAGTATTTTCGCTTGCCTTAATTGCCTACTTAACCTTACCACTCATAAATTTTCACTTACGGGGAGTGGATTCTGGCGACATGTCATCGCTCTGTTGTTGTTTTTTCTGAAACAAAAGGCCATCTAAAGTCAGAGACTTCAATTTTTTAACAGATGGGAGCTGCTGCTAAGTAGTAGAAATTAGTTGCTTGAAAAATCTTTCTCATCCTCTACGTTCAGCGAATGAGTGCTTCCATGTAAGCATCATTCCTCATATCTTTACATCCTCATAGATCCCGTGTTTTCCTTACACCAGTATGGACAATGAAACTTTTTCTCCACTCACGATTGTCATCGCATTAGTCTTTTCATCTTCGAAAGATCCTTGCAACATGGTACTCTGCAAACAAGCATTTCCTTTTAAGCACAAAGCAATTCTTAAAAGCAAAAACACATTTTGCCATGGATGATTTAAAAATGTTGAGATGAGGAAGAGAAAAACAAGTGGAATTCGCCTTGGAATTCACATCAATGGTAGACGTTAAGTTGTGATGTAGCAGCACTGAAGGTGTATGGGCTGGTTTTCTCTTGCGAGGAAAATAAAGAAGATATTTACGTCCTTCGACCATCGCCATCACTTCATTACTTCGCCCTCATCGGATTCAGTACAAACTCGTTTTTGTGACTGAATTAGCCAGGAGAAATAAGAAAACGTTGCCTTCACAAATATTTCCTGCTTGACAACTTTACCAACTTTATTCGCAAATTAGAAGAAAGATGGACTGTGGAAAAGATTCCTTCCATGGTTTTTTTTTCGAGGAGACATCAATTCGGTACATTTTACAAAGCTCCTAGACTTCTCTATCATTCCGTGTCGCACATTACCCTAACACGGAGACCTGTAACCTCTGAGAGGTCACGTAACCATTACGATAGAACGGACAGAGGGTGGAACACGAACTAAAAGCAATCATATTGCAGCACCTAAATGCAGATGGGCTCAGAGTATAGCATCCTCGTCTCTGTTATGCCGAATTCACCTCTCTTCGATTATTCAAATACACATATTTATATTCATGTATATGGCGTGCGTACAATTATCCGTATTACATGCTTCAAGTCGAATCAGTCAAAACAATTAAGCGATTGAAGGCTACTTGGAAGGCCGTTTAGGACTGCTTTCAACACATAAGCCCATCTAGTCTTGGTCAACTCTGCAGACTACTCTTTGATCCAAGTGAGCAAAGACTTTGCGAATTTCTTCGCTTTAAAATCAGGTAGGATAAAGAAAAAAGATAAATCGCCTCTCTTCGCTTAACGATGCACCGTGCATTCGACTCCATTTCAAGTATTTTAAAGGCGATGTAATGCGTATTTGACCCATGTAATCGCTTTGGGTGGTTAGGGTATTTTTATCCTCCCAGTAAAGTCTGATAGCATTTTGCATCCTCCGGTGGCACGCCAGGTATGGTTACGCCATGATCCATGATCTCGTGCTTCGCAAAGCGCCTTTAGCCCTCACACCGCGTACATGACTTTCGTTGGTATTCGTGAATTAAATGGGATAGAAATTGATGGAATGCACGCGAAGTGGCTGTAGAAATTCGTGACGTGCTCAACAACAGGAATAGGATCTGCATCATCAATTTCCACTGTCGATAGCTAAACAATAAGAACGTCGTATTTAACGCGGCATGAAGAATCGACCACTGAACTCTGTTGTTACGAAATCTTCTCCAAGAAAACCACAGGCAGGAGGAAACAAGGTTGTAAAACTATGAATAACTTGCTTCTACGCTGAGTTTTTGTCTTACGTTTTGTTTTATCTCCTTACTTCTATAAAAGCTCACATTTATCATGCGCAAGTAAAGGTGTCTCATAAAATATAAAGCCATGAATGGAAATAAGGAAGAAAGGCGTCTACCTTTTTTTCCTCTCCCGGTTTTCCAGCCTGGAATTGATGTATCAGTGCATTAAAATAAGTATATTAATAAGACAAACAACTTTAAAACACAGCATAGGAAAAACAGGGATGTGTAGGGTTATGACGGAGGTGCCTTGCAACACACGCGGCACTCGGTTTGACCTCGCGCCAAGATCAAACCGCTACTTCTGGGTGGCAAAATTGCTGTCAGTCTTGTTTGGGAGAACACGGGATTGATCGACGTCGAACATTTCGGCCTTTATTTTTTTACAGAAAAGCTGAGAGAAAAACTTGAGCTATTGTTGATATCGTGGATAGAACGGCGGCGCCGGTAACTATAATCCCGAGGTCGAATCTGGCCTATAGTACCAGCTTTGCGATTATCTCAGTGTCATGGTAGTTGTATTTCACATAATACTCTGTAATAAGGTTGATAAGAGAACGGTGGTGGATCCTGGAATTGGTTTATTCTTAACTGGACTTCATGATGGAAACGCCGAACTCCTTCTCAGCTTGGAAGGCCCTGCTGGGGGATGACTCCACTCGCTGTAAATCACAGCCCGACATCCGGGATCACCTCCCAGTCACGATGTGGCGGTAAAGCGTTGGGAGGTATAGAAACCTTTAGGTCGATAATTTCTATACCAGTGTTTTCCAGTTTTAGATATTTTAGATATACAGTTCAGCTTCTGTAGTGGACTTCAAAACCGCCACCATCCTGCGACTTCTCACAGTGGTTGGAAGTCGCAACGCCTTAGTGCTTCAGATTGTTTCCTTGCAGCGATTCTCCCCTTTAGGATGCCTTGCTACTAAGGGGTTATGGCAGTGTGATAAACAATTTCTGTGATCCCAACACGTGACTGTTTGCATTGATATCAATGCACCTTTCTAGCCGCTGTTTTTCTTCTCCGGGAAATTGTTTGCCATATGTTTTGCCTTATCCAACGCATTTGTTGTTTCAAATGTGGTCGCTGGAAAGGTATACCCACAATACTTTAGAAAAAAAACCTTTTCCTGATAAGTTTTATAATAAACCCAGTGTGCAGTGAGGAGGCATAGCCGGAAGTGGCCACCGTAGGAAATTATGCGTAATCGCGTATGTGTGAGTGGTTCCTTGACAGACGAGCACGATCGAGTTATCCTGATTCTAAGCCCATTAGAGCTAGAATTGTCATATCTACTGAAAGCACTCGGCCAGTTTTTCACAGTGCTGGTATTTATGCCTTATTTTTCGACCATTATTGTAGACACTGAACAAATCACCGTGGCGTCTCCTATTTCAAAGTCGATGAGAATCTTCTAAAATCAGGTTAATAATTGGCGACTACAATATTTCTATCTTATAATCACTTCAAAGAATAATTCCACGCAC